GCCCTTCGACCGTCTGCCCCGGTGCGTTTCAACTCGGCCGAATGGCCTACTCTCCTCCGCTACCTACAGACAGTTCCACAAGCTCGAAATCGGCCGGTTTCCGCGCTCCGCGGGATCAAGATAGCATCCCTTTCGACGCGTAGCTTCAAAGTTTCCACTCGGCCGTTCCACGCCGCGGCGGCTCCGTGGCGCGCGCAGCGCGTGCTACACGGATCGCAAAAAGAAGGCGCAGCCTTTTTCCGCGGGAAACCGTAAAAAGTGCGCATTCGCCGGGGGTAATTATCATAAATTCGACGCGATAAGCTCGTTTAATTAGAGACACGGCCGGGCAGGCGCGTTGCGTGTACCGTCCGCGACGAACATTTATTAGAAACACGGCGCAGCACCTTTGGAACGGCTTGTACACGTCCGCAGGTAGGTCTGCGCATAACGCATGATGTATGGTGGGCGTGAAACGGGCGTAGCAACATAGTAACGTTTACTATATCGGCCACAACTGTCTACCAGCGCTCTCGACGAGTTCGTGCGACCGGATTGTGGTTCTAGGATTAGCTACAGGCCTTTTCGATATCGATCTCCGACCGGACGAGTCAATTTTACGAGATCTCCCATCGAATAAGAAGGCCGGGACAACTCGAACGAAGGGAGAAGTGTAGGGAATCGTCGACGGTCCTCCCGCGTCGAGTTCCCGTGCGTTTCCCTGCCTCTACAATCGACTATCGTCCAGCCGTACCATCACCCTTCTTCGCGTTCAACTATTAAAACACCTGGGTACGTTAACGGCGTTATTGCTCTCGTGTCTTCCCTCCCATGATCGAGCGCTAGACTTTCCGGTTATCCTTCGCTCGTTGCTACGCTTCGCTTAGACTCTAGATAACGACGAAATGCGCTGTGAACGCAAAGTGAACCGAATCAGGCTCGCGTCGCTATCTTTTCGCGCGAGAAACGTGGACGGCCAGGGGGCGGCCCATGGCGAATCGCAATGGAGTATCCGGGCAGGCGGAAACTCCGTGTTACACGCAATTACGTGTGTAGCGGGATTCCTATAAAAGCTGGGAAAACGCGGACTCCAGGACGCTAAACGAACGATGGACGCGACGTTTCCCTCGAATCGCTCCCTTCGCAAAGCTTGATTCGCCGACGAGACGGATATACGCGTCGGTCGCGAAGAGAGGAAACTCGGCGTCGAAAGCGTGACAATAGCGCGCACGGATTTCAGAGAGGGAAAAACTTACGTTTATGTTACCGAGATGGGTCGGAGGGCTGACACCTCGGCGGCCTCCGCCGCCTCCAACATCCGCGTCCAGCTTGCCGGCTCGATCGATCTCGTGGATCTCGAAAATTGCGCTGCACGTTCCTAAGGCGGGCACGGGAAGGAGGCTCGAGCAGCGCTGTTCGATCCTCAGAACAGTCTGTCCGAACACCGCGGTCCGCACTGAACAAGCACAGACACTGTGTCACAGGTTTCGCTCGGTGTCCTGACGACGAGGTTCAGAAACATTCTTTACGCGATGCGCGCCGTTGTCGTTCCCCGTCTTATCGAGTTCGAGCGACGAGTGAACGGGTCCCGAGGAGATTCTGTGCGAGAGGGAATCAAGGAGTATCGAGGAGGGCGAGAGAAGCGCGCCAATTCCAGAGGGCTCTAGAGGGTACCGGAGGGCACCGGTCGGCGTGGCACAGCTGACGAGGCCGAGGAAATCTCTCAGGAGGTACACACCGGTCCGTGGGCAGCACTGGTTCGCGACCAGGACACAGAATTCCGGGGGGATCGTGCTGGGATCGCGGGGCCGCGGCGCGGGCAGCCGTCGTGCACAAACGTGGCGTGTTCGCGTGGACTTTCAGCCTGTCCGGTGTTCGT